TGATAAGTGTAGGAGCGCAGAACTGCGTCCACTGCAAATACATCCACGGTATTTTTGCACGCATCTTGGAAAGCAGAACAAAAGATGACGTTCATGCCAAGCAACAACGCTGACCAAGAGCAAAGGAGAACAAACCACCGGGTTGTATTTAGCCCTGAAAAGTCAAAATTCCTAATCCCAAGAGTAAGGCTGTGACCAGAGTAACGGGGGTACAGACGTAGTGTGAAAAAAGCATTTCATCAGTTTATGAGGGATTACATGCTCCAATTTTATTCTTTTTTTTTTTTTGAAGCTCTGTGTATATAAATTCGCATTTAGCCATGACTATAAAAACCAACCACAGAACCCAGCCTGACAAGGATGGTCAATAACCATTTGAAACGCTTGAGAAAGGGGCATTAGGATGTTTTAAAATCAATACAGACATTGCCAGAGGCGTTCATCATTGAGGCTGGCTATTAAAACTCAGAATGAATTGATGCCTTTTGAAAGCAGCAGTTTTCTGGACCGAGCACGGTGTGAACGTGTCGACGTTATTACAAATACAGTTGGAACTATCCAAAACGGGTGAACATCCCATTTTGCAGAAGGAGCCTCACGTTATATAAGTTGCAAAGACTTTATGAACCTTTCAGATGCACACACAAGGCTCCGGTTAAATATTGCCCCAATGAATCATGATGGGTTTCACGGCTGGAGAGGCTTTATACATCATCCTTCCTTCACAGCCTCTGCTCCTGCTCAGGGAAGGAAGGAACAAGGAGAAAATTTATAGGGTAAGAATCAACAAACCGCTCGTGCTCTTATGCTGGGAGCTGGCTGTTTTTCCCCCTGGCATCAGGGGACAGTCACAGATCAGGGCAGCCTGAAAAGCTAGAACAAGGCCGAACTTCCTGAAACCAGCTGTAAACCGGCAGAAAGAGGGCAAAAAGTGAACTTTCTGGCTGCGAGGACACAACCAGAGACAGAGGCAAAGCACACCCATACGCTGCCTGAAGCACCAGTTCCGATCCCACAGCTCAGCTCATGCCCTCTCCTTGTTTTGGTCCCTAAGGGGTTTTGCCTCCTCTTATCTCCCCAGCTCCTTTCCTCCCTTTCACCTGAATTTTACTACATCATTACAGGACTCGAACTGCCTGGGGACAGATGAAAGAGATGCTACAGTGAGCAGGGTCTGCTTCCTCTCCTGGGCGGTCCACTCCAGCAGCCCTGGTCCACAATAACTTCCTCTGAAGGGGAAAAATAAAGCAAAAATGAAGAAAAAAAGACAGCCTCGGGATGAAGGTAGAAAATCAGAGCAGAGGCTGGGTGACGCTGCCGAAACGGGCACAGCAGGTCTTGGGGCAGCGCAGCAAGATGGACCCACCCCAGCCCAGCCCACCCACCGCTCCTGCCCCAGGGCTTCCCCAGCCAAAACACCACCTCAGCCTCCGCCACACTGCAGCGAGTTTGATGCAGCAGCTCAGACTGAAGGGAAAAAAAAATAAAAAAAAAAATAAAAAAAATACAAATTCTATGTAATGAGGCTTCTCTATGATGCCCCCAAATGCCATGGCTCATTTAAGTAACAAGTCTAATGACGTTTCATTTCTTAAGTACACTATTTCAAACACCAGTATCTTTTTCCAATTACTAAACCCGTCTGGGTTTACTTACTGAACATCTATGCAGGAACGCCACAGCACCATTTGCTAAATCACGCCCCACCAAAAGTCAATGGAGCCATTAAAACGAACCCTGCTTCCCCTTAATAATACTAGTGACCTCACAGCGTTGGCAGAGCGATGCCAGAAGCGCACCCCATCCCCTTGGCACAGACGAGCTGAGATGCTGCTGGTTTTCCAGGTGCTTCAGGAGACATTTACCTACAGCTTGGGTCAGCAGCCAGCTCAGAGGCTGCTACTCTTAACTCCCCCAGGGCCAGAGCTGTGATAACCGCTGAGGATGCTCCCAGCTGCACACCAGAATTATATTTCGTTTTTCACTCCAGGCGCTTTACAGCCACGTTGCTGTAAACCCCTCTGCCCCAGCGCGAGGAAGCGTCTCCTCGGACAGAGATTTCCACCTGCAATAGGGTGAGGATGTTAAAGCGAGAGCGGAGGAGGCTGCTGGGGAACAGCTCTGCCCTCCCACTCCGCTCCGTAATCTGATTTGGAGTGATGTGAATCACTCGGCGCCAGGACGCGATGAAGAATCAACATGCCTCGCTGTTAAATATACAGTTTACAGGCGCATGAGTCACAGCTCGGGTTTCAAGGTGCGATGCTGGATGTAAATCCTTTCTGGGAACTACCCAAGAACAGTGCGCACGTAGCTATGAGTTAAGGGGTCAGCCCTGGCCTTCCAGCCCCGCAGCCTGCGGTGACCCTGCCAAAACTATTTCCCCGGGGATTTAAAGTCTACGGACTCAAAGCTGCCCCAAGCCCTGGGGCTGCAGGGGGAGGTTCAGGGGCCTGGGTGGCCCGTTGGCCCCGCGGCAGGGAGGGCACAGACCGCCGAGCCCCTCCGTGGCACCAGAAGGGGCTTCACCTGCACCCGGAGGGACGAACAAACCCTCCGCAGCTTTATCCGTTCCAAGGGAGGCAGAGAAATACAGATTACACCCCTTGCCTACCCGGATATATTAAAGACAAGGCTGGGTTCTCTTTTGTCTGTAGTAATTAAAGCCTAGCGATTATCCCACTCGTCAAGCACCAAGTCTAGACACAGACTTTTCACACCAAATCCACCCATACGCCGTTTCACGCGGATGCGTGTGCCTCACTTCACGCAGGCAGCTAGCTGTTAGCAGCTCCCGTAAAAAAAAAATCTCGTTTCGATTCGGCCTGGGCAGCTGTGAGCGGCGGGCAGCAGCGGGCTGGAGAGGAGCTGGGGGACGGGGGGAGCAGGGGAGAGACGGGGAGGGAGAGGGGGGGGGGTCCCGGCCGGACGGTACCGTGCTTCCTCACTCCCTACGAACAACGCGCAAGTGATGGGAAACCGAGGGATTTGGGACGATGGGGAAGAACGGAGGTACCCAAACACGCTGCTGACTGGGGGGGGGGAAAAGCAAAATGAGAATTTTTTGCTCCCAACAGAGTAGATAAAGGATCGGTCTCACCATTGCACCTCCTCCATCTCCCTTCCTAGAGGTCTAAACCAAACCTTCTCACTCGGCTCCGTGTGGCTACAAGCATCCCGTCACCCCAGTGCGACCGCACAGTCGCTTCTGCTCCCAACCTCTCACGCAGCCACATTAAACGCACGTTTACATCTCCAACTGCAAAGACCTCAGACATGCAGGGCCCTGGAGAGCCGCACGATTACACGTTCTCCAGCCATCTCCACCCCAGCTCCCCTGCTCCTCACCACCATCCCCAGGCAGTAAAGACAACTGCAAAACAAGGTAGCAATGCGCTTTGGGATTTTTCTTTGTTTTCACGGCTTTAGCGACTTAAAAAGATGTAAATAGGAAGGAAGGGTCAATGATTCAACAGTGATTAAGTCTGAAATATTCCACTTAGTACCCATTAGACTTTGAAAATACCCGTTATGTTCCCAGAGTGTTCCCCAGAGCGCAGCCAGGCAGTACCCAGAGATGGAGAAAGCTGCTTTCTTGGAAGGCTTGAGGTATCTTGTGAAAATACCGAGTTCATTTCAGTAAGCAAAAAAAATATCAAGAGACAATAAAAGAATTAATGTATTGTAGATTCTTAATACCGTTTCCCCAGAGAGAGGAAAAACAACAAAGTCTAATGGAAATTTTCTATTCTCAAAACCATTTGCACTGCTACTGTTTGCAACTAAGAAGATGAAAACATAAAACCCCAGCAGCTTAAGTTTCTGAAAATTGCAGGGCTGCCTACTTTTTTTTCTTGAAGAATAAAATTAAACTGCACCTGGGATGCAAAGTTTCCACTTTACAAAAATATCAAAAACCTTGCAACAGCCTTACAGCCTGCAGGGTCAGAGCAATCTTCAAGCTTGCATTTGCCCCAGGAGCTAGAAGACATCCAGGACTCAAAGCCTGTTGAGTCTAGAACAAAACTTCCTTCCGTGCCTTTGGAAAAATCCAAGCGGGTATTTCAAGTCCTGAAAAATCCTGTGGATTTGAAACACTTTATGGAACATGCAATTAAGCAGTGCCGTTAAATAACGGAGCCTGATTTAAGAGGATAGCACTATTCTTTGTAAAAAGGAGGATCGTTTCTTCATCTCAATCTGCTCCAAATTGTACTCAAGATATTGTAAACCGCTGCTTCAGTTTCTCTCCAACCGAGAAAAAGCAGAGGAGCAATAAGATTATTTCACTAAATTACATTTTCTTTGTCTAGTGAAAAGCTGCTGTTAAGTAGAGGAACAGAAAATGGTGTTGACTCAGAAGACGTATCCCGACGCAGCTGGGTGTAAGGGTGGCCACCACCCACCCCACAGACACACCCTGGACCTGGGGAAGCCTGATGAGGTTTCCACCACCTTGACTGAGAAGTTCCTTCTTTAAAATCTACTGAAAGAAGAAATAGCTGCCAACAAGACATTTTATTTCCCGCTTTGGCAGCTACAATTCTATGAACCTCCACAATAAGAAGTGACAGCGTGAATGCCACTCGTAGTCTATAATTAGGGGGGGACACCGAGGGTCAGTGTCACGGGGCACCTTCAACGTGGCGTAACGTGACAAGGGCAGGGTTAGTGCTCGCGGCGCCCGCGTTGAAAATAAACTTATCTCAAGCTAAGCTGATGATTTCATTTCCCTGGTGAATGAGATATCTAATTATCAATAATTCATAGGCACAGACAGACGTGCAAGCGGCTTTGAGAAGTGAAGCAGAAACGGGAGCAACGATTCTTGGAATAAGAGCCGGCAGAGAGACAGATCCAGAGCGGGAAGAGAAGGTGCACTTTGCATGCACGTGTCAAAACCAATCTAATTTCAATCACATACGTGACAGCCCAGGTGCCAGTCTAACAGGGGTATTTTCCCCGTGCACTCTGCGGTTGGTATATGACAGGATGCTTGCCTGGATGGAGCCCAGCTCTACCTATCCGGATGGACAACTCGCTCTCGTAGTCCAGGTGATGGGCAGGTTCATGCTCATATTTTTCTTTCACCGCTCGCTGGTCGTAACTCAAGGCAAACGCTGCGTGGGGAGGCCCGCTGAAACCCTGCAAGGCAAGAGAGAAATTTAAGGTTTTTCCCACATCTGCCCGTCAGCCTTCCCCCACCCCCATCCTCAGGGACTGCTCTGGCATCTGGAAGCCGATGAGGGCGCATCTCACAGCTGCGTGGAGACGTGTCCTTTAGGCTCCCCTCTGTCTCCGGACTGCCCAGTTGTTTAGATTTAAACGTGCATTTCCAGCAGAAACGTCAAGAAAAGAGTTAGGAGGAGCTCTGGGCCAAAAAGTAACCGGGCTAAAGAGGGAAAGCCAAAATTCACTTGGATTAACAGCAAGAAATGCAAGTCCACAAACACACAAAAAAAAAAAATGCAACTGCATAAACGCAACTCCCTCCAAAGTCAACCTGGAGGAGACCAGCAGACACGGGGGGACTGGCACTGCTGTCAGCGCTGCCAAGGGTCGAGCTGCTGGTTTGACCTCGGCGGAAGGTTAGCCTGCAGTTGGGTGCCATTTCTTCAACGTGGATTGAGCTTGCAAGGAAAATTGCTCGTTCAAAACTGAACCCATTTGAGCATCAAAGGAGACGCTACCTTCACAGCCACCCAGTGTCAGTTCAGAGGGGCGCGTCCAGACAGCCTGATGAAACTTCAGCCTCACTTGGAATCAATTCCTACCCCGTTTGTAACCTCCAGAAAGCTGAGAGGGACGGCCAAAACCAACACTGTCCCACTGTGCATAAAAGTCTGCAGGGAACCCAAGCAAATGCCCCGTGGCAAGAGGGACCACGCTGCTCCCATAAGCGATTCCAACCTGGACACGGCTCACGAAAACCAGCCGTGACCCAAGGATGTGCCAGAGTCTTTATCTGCATCAGCCAAAAAAAACCTGGCAGACACCGTTTCTGCCTTTTTCCCACAGTGCTGGACACGTGGCAGCAAGGCTGGTGTCTCTGGATGGCCCCAGGCTGCTCAAACCCACCCAGAGACAGCCACAAAACCGATAAGAAACGGGGGGGGTTGGAGGCATAACTGCTCAGCTGAGAGAAGGAACACGTCCCACGGCGGTGGCTGTACGACCTGGTGTAACCAGCTCTACCCAAAACATGGGGAGAGGGACCCCGAGTGCCCGTCCCCTCGCAGGGCTGGGGACCAGCCCCCGGGAGCACCCCCAAAAAGGGATGTCCAGGCTGTACCCGACGGCACCGGGGGGGAACACGGGTTTAGCTGTTGGGCTGATGGCAGCGGAACAAACGAACATACGCTGAACAGCCAGAGACGGTAATGAGAGACTTGACGGGTAAGGTCACATTAAACAAAAATAAAGGTTAAAGATGAATAACTAAACCGTCTACTCTCCCATCATTTGCATAATATAGTCTGACCGGTGTTATTAATACTAATCACATATTTGCTATCTGCTCTCTATTGCAGTTTAATCAGGGTGCTTTCACCTCCATTAACCCAGCAATTACAAGATGCACTGATGAGGTGCTCACGTGTCAGTCCGCCTGGGAGAAGGGAGACCCACACCGCCCCACCGCGCCTGCCCCCCGGCAGACACCAGCAGCTCTGCCCCTCGAATCACGAGCGACAGCTGGAAGAACAGGGAGAAACGCAAGCGTTTTCCAGCAAACCCTGGCTGGCATGACACAGTGAGGGAAGAGGGGAACTTCAGCACCATGACCCAACTTGGGTAAGGCAAGAAGAGACCGAGAATGGAAACTCCAAGGAGCCTGCTGCAGTGTGGTCTCCCTGCGTCCAGGAGAGTCCGGTCCTGCTAAAACTAAATGGGTTTTCACCTCTGGAAAGCGAGTAGCATCACTTTCCAGAAAACGCCATCCCAAGGAGGAGCAAGGATGGGGATTTGAAGGTGCAGAGGGAAAGCCTCAACCCTTTAAGCGCCCGGGAAGGGTTTGCACGCGCTGCACGGGGCTCTCCAGCCGCCTCCCCTTTGCCACTGCTCTCACCTCAGACTTGGGGAACGCCAGGTTTCACAGAGCAGAAGGCTCTCCTTCCACATGGCTCCTACCACCGTTTTGTTACATGAGCTGCAAACACCGACAGCAGCTTTGTGGCCTTTAGCACCACCGGATTTGTGGCTTTCCCCCCCAGCCCCAAAACAGCTGCTTCTCCACTGGGTCTTCCCAGCACAGGCAGGGAAGCGAGCCCAGGGCACGGCCAGAGCCCGCAGGACTCTGCAGGTTACAACAACCCAGCCAAGTGGAAAAGAAATCACTTGTACGAGCAGGAGGGTACCATTCAGCAGATGCCCTCTATTGCCACTGCTCGGCTACGGATGCAAACAAGCAAGGTCCTTGCAAGGTCAAGACCATTCGCCGCAAGGTCTGCACTCCTGATGAGAAGCCTCCCACGGCTGTTTTCTGTGCCACCGGTCTCAGCACATCAAATGTTTATCGATGTGGTACCTGCAAATCTGCTTGCACCAAAATGGAAGCAAACTTGAAGATATCTCGGATGCTTATTGTAAGGTCAGGTCACCTCCCTCGGCAGGCACAAATACGCAAAGCCGGCAATTTGAAAAAAATATTAGTGACCTTCAGTAAAGCACACGATTTATTCCAACTGTGATTGCTCTGAGTCATTTCAGTCCAGTCCCTGCATGAGTCCCTTAATTGGAATGTGTCACTGGGTTAAAAAAGCATTAGAAAGAGAAGAAGAAAGTCAACCCACATTAATTAGTTCATGCCAGTAATTAGCGTTAACTGAAATAACCACAGGGGCTGATTATTTCAAAAAGCGAGATGCAATGAGAGACTCGGGCAGGAAGGTCTTGGAGGAAAACTATTCTGGGATGTGGGAGTCCCCGTCGTACTCATCTCTGCTTGCGGAGCTACAATGGAAAGGTCATTAGATTGTTATGGCCTTGTGTGTAAAAGCAGACGAGAAAAAAATATGTATCTCTGCAGAGAACAGAGAAGAGCCCCGCTCCACGCAGCGCCCGCCTCAGCAGCCAGATCCTGCTTTTGTTACCCAAAAGCTGCAGCAATCCTGAATTAATCTGTATGGAAAGGTGCCCCTCTCCCGCTGGCATCCCGGCGGTGCGGCCACTGCCCCGGTATCGACGGCATCACCCTGATATTCCAAGGGCCAAGGGCTGAGACAGGGAGGAGGCGGCAGCTGCTTGCAAGGATTTCGGATTGCGTCCTCCTGCCCAGCCAGCCTCTCGCACGATGGAACCAAAAGCAATTTTAAAAAGAGACAAAGAGTGAGCGACACCTTTGAGAAATAATCTGCTCTTCTCCACCCAGCCACTGAAGGAGAATAAATTGATAAAGAAATAGTGATGACAAAAGGTGATGGTCTGGGCTTTGGGTAGATCACTTGGTACCACATCTGGAGGGGCTGCCTGCCTGGGAAGGTCGGTGATGCTGCTCTTCAAGGCAATATCTTACTGGCTTTAACCCAGCAAACGCCCTGGAACAGGCTCTGCAAAGCCACAGGAAACAAAGACCACAATATATCAACAAACGTCAGAAAGCACCTCAACAGGAAGGGGAAAGAGAATAAATTTTACTCACTTATTAAAAGAAAACGTAAGTTAAAAATGTTCCTGACTTGTCCAGGAGCTAACATAGACAATAAGAAGCCATGCTTTGATGGTGCCCAAGGGCTCCCATTTCACACTTATTAAAAGACAGACAGATCACAGACCAGAAAGCTCTAAGAAACGAGGGGTGGGCAGCAAGGAGAGGAAGGGGAGATGCTGGATGTCCCCAGCCTGTGTCAGCGGCTGCCCCGGCCGTGGGGAGGACACAGCGTGTCTCTGTGACCCCCCCCCCCCCCATGCCCCCCAGCCAGCTCTGTGCATCACCCGCTCGCTCGGCTGATTCTGCACATCTGCACAGAGCCCGGCACCTCTGGGGACGGAGACAAAGGCTGCGCAGCAACAGAGCAGCAAGTCCCCGGCTTTTCTGGGGCGGATAAACGGATTTATGTTAAAAACATGAAATTGGATTGGATGGGAAGAGAGCTCCCTCAGAAAGCACTTAGAGATCAGAAAGCGTCCATTTGCATGTAAAACAACGGGCTGGTATTTTGTTTTTTGAAACAACTCATCAAGGGCTCGGCGCTCCCAAGCAAACCTCCGTCCCCGTGCCTGCAACGCTCATTTGTAACCCGACGTGGGAGAGACAGCTAGCTGCCCTGTGCTCCCCCCGAACTCCTCTGGCACCCTTTGGTTTCCTCTCTTGAAACCTCGGCTGGTCACATCGCTCCCAAAGTCCCCGGAGGGGACTGGAGCACCAGCAAACCCCGGGGCAGCCGGTGTCCCATGGGACGTGCCAAGCCCCCGGGGAGCAGCACCCTGCACCCGCCCAGGGTGCAAAAAGCAGGTCCTCCTGCTCATGCCCACGCTCTTCCAAAACCCTCCTCATTCCAAATGACATTTTTTTAATAATTAAAAAAAAAAAAAAAAAAAAAAAAAAAAAATTAAAAAATAAAAAAAAAAAAAGAAAAAAGCACCCCTTAAATGCAGTCAGCCCCCAGCACAGCGTCCTCAAAACCAACACGTCCCCCACCTCTTCTGGGGGGGAAAAAAAAAAAAAAAAAGCGTGGTTTTGGTCAATATTGACCTGGCACAAAGGGATGGGTTAAGGGAAGGAGTTAGCAGGCGCACATTGAAGAGGAACTGCAGCTCTCTCAAAGCCAGGGATCACTGGCAATCCCCCACTCGAAATACAAAATCAACAACTCAAGTGCAACCTTAAATACTCCACACAATAAAAAAAGGCCCTTCTCAACGTTGAAGTGGGTGCAGTCATATTTATGATTAATAGCATCCAACATGCAGCTCTAAGACAGAAGTAAATCTCCCTTATTTTGATTCCCGCGGTGCCTGGCAGCCCTGTGCCCCGGTACAGGCCAGTCCAGCTGCTCGGGGTCGCAACTGGGTCCCACCAGCAGCACTCGAACCCCTTTGATCAGACAGATTGTGCCCCTGTAAATTGGGAATAAACCTGGGGGCACCCAGCACGCCCCGAACCACCGCTATGGCTCCATCTGCCAGAGGAACAGTCAGTAACCCCA